GTTCGGTACGGTACGTACGTAGGTAGGGTCGGGTAGTACGTTACCGTTCGTTACTAGTATCGTATATATATATATATATATATATATATATATATATATATATATAATACATACATACGTACAAACATACTAACATACGTACATACATACATACAAAAAGACATACATACATACATGCATATATATATATATATATATTTATATACAGTTCCGGTGGGAACCTAAATATGCGAGGTTCTTTTAATTACGACTCCACTGTTGGTCGTCATTTTGGCGTAATGTTGGTTGGTGTGGCACTAGGTGCACATAACACACCACCATTGCTTATGTTTATGTTGGGGTGACCTGCGGGTCCGTATTGATCGAGTCCACCGGGAGGGAGATGAAAGTCAAAGGTAGTCAATGGGTCGAGGTCCTGGGCCGGGTCAATATTATAGAAAACAATGATGGCTATCTGTCCAAAGAGGAAGACAGTGCATACACAAGAGGCAAACATCATACCATAACAAGCGACGAAGGCGATCGTGATATGCGTACTTGCCCACTCGGCAGAGTATTTGGTCATAGGATCCAGCCACAAGGCGCTCAATACGGTCAAAGCCGTCGACATGCTTGCACATAGCAGTGAGATTACAACATTCGATCTCCAATCTGAGAATGCAAGTTTGATTCCACGGGATCTGTAGGAGTAGTACGCAAGAATTGCAAATAGTACGTAACACCCCACGTTGACGATGATGTATGATGCTGTTCTATACTTGGCATAATCTACATAGCTACACGTGAAAATCAGGCTTCCGACGAGTAGAGACCACAGAACCACCCATATATACGAGTGGTAGTATATGTTGCATGATGGACTAACTTTCACTTCGAACAACAGAAAAATTAGCCGTTGACGGGATGCTAGAGCACCCAATATGAAAACAGTACTGGTTATGGTTAAAGCACCTATAAATGATACTACGATCATGTTAGTACGTATCACGCCTATTCGGATCAAAGCTGTGAATGTGCCACCTAAGCCTGTGCCGAATATTCCTATTGATATCGCAGTTAGGTATACAATTCCTCTACTCCGAACAAGCGGGTGTTTTATCTTGGTCATGAGATAGCCACCTGTGAGTAGCAGTTCCACATTCAGCAGAAACCATGAGCCAACTATACATGCGATCCCCAGTCGTTTGTTAGATATAGGTGTGAAAATACTCATATTCTCGATTGATATATACCCCAATGTGAAAAAAACTGCGGCGTGGACGAAGACTGCTAATACACAGCCCCACCCATTGAGTATGTTGAATTCTTTGCCCGACACTTTCCTACTCGCGCGCACATTTCGTAGGACTTTGAAGATTTGATACCAGGCTACAGAGTTGTGTTCAAGTGTGGTGTGCGATTGGGCTATGCGAATTTGAAAATTCGAATCGCTTGATAAAGGTTTGTCTTGTGAACCGTCGTGCGTACTAGAAGGCAAATGTTGGACATCCACATTTGAGAATCCTGACACCGGCAAGGATAAGCGTGGTGCCTTATTGTCCTTCTCAATTCTCGTCTGGGACGCTTCGTGTGAGGCTCCGCGCTCTTCCATCGAATAGCAGTCTTGCTTTGTGGTAGCTGAATATGCCGACATATACTTCAATTGGTTTCATCAACCTCGTCCAAAACGGTTTCTATTTGTGATGTGCCTTTATAACGGACTGAGATCTCTTCGTGTACAAAGTGCATTCAAAATTCCCAATAGAGAAGACTGAGTCGGATACACAGACCGTACTCAAGGACTTAAACTAATACATTTCAAACAATATTAGTACTATAATCTGCGCTTCTGTTACTGTGCTTTTAAACTATACCATGTAATCCGATATTAAGTGTTCTCATAATGATTCTGATATTCGCTTATATTTAGACGGGACTTCAATTGTGAATTTGTGACCGT